ACCATTAGAGTTCAGTGGTTTCCACATACATTTAAGAACTCGGACGCTCCAATATTGAATGACGTTAGCTGGTCTCTAAACCCAATGCAGTGACTTGTCTCAGACTTAACCTGACATCGACGTGACTTGTTGACCTACTGATGGAGAATGCACCAAAAAAATCTGTCTCGACCATCCATTCGGAAGTTTGATGAGGAGCCAAAAATCTGCATCCCTCCCAGCGATTCGTATATTCATCTCAATGCTTCAAGAAGTCCGGGTTAAAAATATGCGCACAAAACACACATTAACGACTTTAAAACGGAAACAAGCTTCACCACTCACACGCAAAACTGAGGCGAAACTTGAGCTGTCATTAATTGTATAAATGATAATGTGAATTTACCACGAGCACAGAGTAGTAACCAACAGCGCAGAACCAACATGCTCGGTCCGAACTCAGCTCTGCAAATATCAGTTCTCACCGCGCCAAACAGTCTCACAAACGGCAAATAACCGAGGTTACCACGATCACGAATGTGAATGATCATTGATCACCAATACCATAAAAGTCTTGCGGCACGCCGCCGCCGGCTCCCGCCACAGCCAGCACAGCGGCGCAGCACACAAAGCAGGGCCACGCTAAAGTCTTGCGGCACGCCACCGCCGGCTCCCGCCACAGCCAGCACAGCGGCGCAGCACACAAAGCGAGGCCACGCTAAAGTCTTGCGGCACGGCGCCGCCGGCTCCCGCCACAGCCAGCGCAGCACACAAAGCGAGGCCACGCTAAAGTCTTGCGGCACGCCGCCGCCGGCTCCCGCCACAGTCAGCGCAGCGGCGCAGCACACAAAGCGAGGCCACGCTAAAGTCTTGCGGCACGCCGCCGCCGGCTCCTGCCACAGCCAGCACAGCGGCGCAGCACACAAAGCGAGGCCACGCTTAAGTCTTGCGGCACGCCGCCGCCGGCTCCCGCCACAGTCAGCGCAGCGGCGCAGCACACAAAGCGAGGCCACGCTAAAGTCTTGCGGCACGCCGCCGCCGGCTCCCGCCACAGCCAGCACAGCGGCGCAGCACACAAAGCGAGGCCACGCTAAAGTCTTGCGGCACGCCGCCGCCGGCTCCCGCCACAGCCAGCACAGCGGCGCAGCACACAAAGCGAGGCCACGCTAAAGTCTTGCGGCACGGCGCCGCCGGCTCCCGCCACAGTCAGCGCAGCGGCGCAGCACACAAAGCGAGGCCACGCTAAAGTCTTGTGGCACGCCGTCGCCGGCTCCCGCCACAGCCAGCGCAGCGGCGCAGCACACAAAGCGAGGCCACGCTAAAGTCTTGCGGCACGCCGCCGCCGGCTCCCGCCACAGTCAGCGCAGCGGCGCAGCACACAAAGCGAGGCCACGCTAAAGTCTTGTGGCACGCCGTCGCCGGCTCCCGCCACAGCCAGCGCAGCGGCGCAGCACACAAAGCGAGGCCACGCTAAAGTCTTGTGGCACGCCGTCGCCGGCTCCCGCCACAGTCAGCGCAGCGGCGCAGCACACAAAGCGAGGCCACGCTAAAGTCTTGCGGCACGCCGCCGCTGGCTCCCGCCACAGTCAGCGCAGCGGCGCAGCACACAAAGCGAGGCCACGCTAAAGTCTTGTGGCACGCCGTCGCCGGCTCCCGCCACAGCCAGCGCAGCGGCGCAGCACACAAAGCGAGGCCACGCTAAAGTCTTGTGGCACGCCGTCGCCGGCTCCCGCCACAGCCAGCGCAGCGGCGCAGCACACAAAGCGAGGCCACGCTAAAGTCTTGCGGCACGCCGCCGCCGGCTCCTGCCACAGCCAGCACAGCGGCGCAGCACACAAAGCGAGACCACGCTAAAGTCTTGCGGCACGCCGCCGCCGGCTCCTGCCACAGTCAGCGCAGCGGCGCAGCACACAAAGCGAGGCCACGCTAAAGTCTTGCGGCACGCCGCCGCCGGCTCCCGCCACAGCCAGCGCAGCACACAAAGCGAGGCCACGCTAAAGTCTTGTGGCACGCCGCCGCCGGCTTCCGCCACAGCCGGCGCGGCACACAAAGCAGGGCCACGCTGAAGTCTAATCACCAGGATGCACGTACAGGCGCGCACGCTTGGCCTCCCGGCTGCAGGTAGGCTGCTCCTTTCGGAGACGTTCTCTGTCGCCGATGAGGCGCCGGATCTCACGTACCCGCAGCTGCGTCCTAGTCATAGCGTACTTCCTCAGTACGTATGGATGCAGCTGCGGGAACTTCAGCGCAGCAGCCTCGGCAAGTCGCCTAACGACGCCGGGGCCGCGGTCGACATCTCCTCCGTGCATCGTGGTGAACAGCACCTCCAGCTGCTCAACCTCATCGAGCCACCGCGCGCTGGGCACCGTGAGGCCGCCGCGGCTGAGGGTGTCAATCCAGGCGTAGCGCTCGTCACGGGGTACCTCGCTGGCATCGGACGTGATCTTGCCGAGCGTGCTGTCCACTGTGGCGCACTTAGCGGCCACGTACCCCGCGACGTACGCCAGCGCCTGCCTGGAGAGACTGGCGACACCGGTTGCTCCAGAGGGAAGGCTTGCAGGTGGCGGGGCGGCGCCGGCGCTGGCTGCGGGTCCCGGACACGGCTGGCGGGCGGTCACCAGGTTCTCCACCGCGGTGACGTCCGCGTCCGGCACCTCTGGCTCCACTGGCGGCTCGTGGTCCAGGTCCAGCGTCGTGGCGCTCAGGTAAGTCGGCTCCTTCTCCTCCAGCAGTACTGAGGCCCCGGACTCGCGCGGGTCATCGTGGGTTGCGGCGGCCACTGTCGGCGCAGCTCCTATGAGGAGCAGGCGGAGGCGGTTCTTGGCCTCCACTGCCGTGGGGTTGGTGTTCGCCGCACCCATGCCTCTCAACTGAAATAGAAACAGTGGTTGGTAAAATACCTAAAAAAAGACTCGATTAGGTGGGCATTAAAGGTGCGGGGTATAACTTAACCACTGTGACAACAGGTCTAATATTTATTGTTTTTTTACCATTACCGGGTCACCCAGTGAAATCAAAGAAGTGAAACAAAACATAGTTTATCAGAGTGAGGTAATTAAAGTCTATTATAACACAAAAGAGGTGAGTGTGAGTGGGTAACACTTAATATATATAAAAAAGACCAATGTCTTCATTACGAGTAAACCATGAATGTTTATTGTTTAAGGATAGAAAAAATGCCGTCAAAGTACTTATATACACAACCCAGATATGTAGTAAGCTACACATTCGGGCGAGACGTATTAAAACAATCAAATTAAAATAAATTTCAAGGCTAGATACAATACCAGGACAAAGGGCTTTGCGTGATAGTCTATGTGCATATTGCTCTTAATGTTTAGGTACCTGCATAAAAAAAGAAAGAAAGAAAGAAAAGAATCGCCCGTGTTTTATTTGAGTTGCATCAAAATGTGTGACTGATGTTAGAATGCTTACCTGCGAGAAGAAGTTTTCGACGCAGTCCTGATTGAGCCGGGAGGTCAGTAGGTAGCTGAGCCCGTGATGCCGCTGCACAGCGCTGTACAGGCCGCGCAGAGCGGTGGAGGACATCACGAAGCCCTTCTGAAAGGGCAGCATCGAGTTGCTGCCGACCACGCGCGCGTCTCGCATCACCTTCGTGAACTTGAGGAGGCAGGAGTACTGGTCCTCGATGGTATGGGCCAGCCCAAACGCCGACCGGTGTAGTTTGCCGTCCGACACGTGGCGGGAGTTGAACGTGTCGAAGGCTTGGTCGACGAGGGCGATGAACTCCGCCTCCTTCCGGTACCGGTCACCGAAGATGTGCGAGACCGCATTGGCCACGCGCTCACTGAGGAGCTGGGCGGCCAGGTACACGCGCTGGCATTCCTGACCCCGCACCTGCGACACACGGGGAACCAAAGGAGTAATAAATAATGACGTTGGTTGACTTTTTGTTGGTCAACATTCAGGCTCACTGAAGGGTCAAATTTCGTAAATTTTTAACTTGTTTCCAATGACGAGATAAATTTTTGACTACAGTTAACACACACTATAATGTGCTACACTATCACAGCTTTGCATCAAATGTAAAAAGACATTGCTTTTCAGCGTCACGGAATTAATCATCCAAGTTGATGGCACATATCATTCATAATGCTGCTGGTTATGGTAATTAACATTGATAACTTGCTCACCGTGATGTGCTTCCACTTCAGAAAGTGGCATAGCCGAAACTCAGAGTTATCTTTCTCCAGAAGGTTGCAAAAGACCTTCTTGTCGATGACAGGGCCGCCTGGCAGCTGGAGGCCTTGCCGGAGAATGTGATTGCGGAGAAGCTTTAGGAGGTGTGGCACGTCCGCGAAGGTGAAGATTTTTCTGCAGAGTGAAACGGAACGAAGTTGCCGTCAGCTAGCATTTACACGGAAATTAAGCTACAATTTTAGTGGTTTTCGAAAGGCTGAATGCCGGTACCAAGGCCATCAAGACAATCGTTGCCAGCGGCATGACATACATGACATATTTGGTTTCAATGCAACATGAATGAAGAGTTGCTGTGGCTACATAAACTTGCTACACAACATCGAAATATAAGCTTATTTATGGTCTCCCTAGAAATTAGTGTCCGAAGTTAAAAACCGATGAATAAGAAAGTTAGAAAAGTTGACTTACCGGCTGGGGTCGCACGGATGGGCAAAGAATCCGCGATGATGTGGCATGAACATGATATTTCTGAATTTACCTGGACAAAACTAATCAGTAATAGCTCACCTCCACTCTCCGCCCTGCGTGGCTACATCAGGCGAGGTACCATGCAGAAGGGCGCTGGTCGGCACCGCAGACGAAGCGGCGCTGGCGGGGACCGCAGACGAAGCGGCGCTGGTCGGCACCGCAGACGAAGCGGCGCTGGCGGGGACCGCAGACGAAGCGGCGCTGGCGGGGGCCGCAGACGAAGCGGCGCTGGTCGGCACCGCAGACGAAGCGGCGCTGGTCGGCACCGCAGACGAAGCGGCGCTGGCGGGGACCGCAGACGAAGCGGCGCTGGCGGGGGCCGCAGACGAAGCGGCGCTGGTCGGCACCGCAGACGAAGCGGCGCTGGCGGGGGCCGCAGACGAAGCGGCGCTGGCGGGGGCCGCAGACGAAGCGGCGCTGGTCGGCACCGCAGACGAAGCGGCGCTGGCGGGCGTAGAGGACCAGGAGTAGGTCAAGGTCTCCGGGTGACTGAGGAGACGAACAGGAGTGGATTGAACATGTGATTTAATGGTTGTGAACAGCATTGAAATGTACCCATTTCAGAGCAGAAACGCATACTAATTGGTGCGTGATGATGTTTGTAATGTGATGGTGTGTGGAACGGTGATATGATGATGTGCTGAGCATATACCCGTTGGTCATTAGAGGGTAGTGATTGATTAGGATATTGCAATCCCTGTGAAAGGAGGAAAATGGATTAAAACATATTTGCAAATGTACACAAAATTACCCTCCCACCTTCAAAAAAGTTAATGAATTGGCATGACAGTGATGTCGCTCGGTTCAGAAAAAGCGAAAAAGAATATCTACCAAATTTCACTGAAAAATATTCACCGGTTTTCAAGATATTAGACTTTTACTTTTGTTTACTTTTTGGGATCTCCGCTGTTCCTAGCGACTTTATTTGGAAGCAATAGTTTGGCAGCTGAAAGTGCGGCACTTGCTGCGCGCAAAGCAGCATATACCACCGCATGCTATCAAACGTTTTAGTCAAAACATTTAAAAATCGTTAGATCTGCGCGCTGACGTCACACATTCAGAGGGGTATCAAATGCATTAGCCCCTCTGAATCCAAAGTGCTGCAACTTTGAAATTAGATATTTTCGATTTGAGGCATTTCTCGATGTTGTGAGTGCTCAAACCAGTAATTGTGAGCCAGGGACCCCATTTTGGCTATCTCAACTCAAATCTAATGTTAAGGTGGGAGGGTCCCTTTAACAAAGATGTCAAAGGTGAAGGTCTCGAAATAAATAACGAGTGAGTATGAAATGTCATAATTCTTTCATTCAACGTCATTTATTAAGTTGTCTAAATAAATATCAATGGATAATGAAATACATTTCATACTCATTTGTTATTTATTTGATGTCTTCCATGTCTTGTACTAATTGAGTTCAGTTAGTTCCAGCTTCCAACAAGGACTCTGCAGGGGTCAGCCTGTCGCTCGTTTGTTTACAGCCCTATCCTGATTTGCAATATTTTTGACCACACTTTCATTAGGGTACTGGGTAGCATAGTATGTCTGAAAGGTGGCCAAAAAGATGGCAAATCAGGATAGGGCTGTAAAACAAGTGAGCAACAGGGTGACCCCTGCATGTGCAGAAGTGAAAGGATTTAGATTACTTCCAGATATGTGGAAAGGACCTTACTGACTAGTGACTGGGTAAGATACATAACCATTCCATAAGGGTACCTACTGGGTAGCATAGTATGTCTGAAAGGGGGGCCAAAAAGATCAGATGGCAAAGCATAGAAATGTGTCCCAAATAAAGAAATCAACAATTGACAGTGAAAGGCAAAGCTCTATGATATAAACACTATCAATGGCAAACATTGGCAGCACTACCAAGTGCTTATCAGTTGCTGGTAATCCTCACCAGACAATGCTGACATGCAGAGCATTTTCAGATCCGGAATGGCGCTGGCTCTCCTGGAAGAAAACAAAATAGTCATTAATTGATGTTGAAAGAAAGCAAAGTAATCATTAGGTATTAGGTAATTATTAGGTACGTAATAGTTATCATTTGGCCGGACGGCAACCATCATAAGGATTATAAGGAGGCACATTTATTTTTTATAAATTTAGTCCGAACCTTTTGAATGGAAGGATTCTCAAGGACAGAGCCACCGCTAAGCAGAGCTCGTTGCGATGGCTCTGCCCTCTACCCTCCGATCGTGCAATTCCTGGTGCATGGCAGAATTTAGAGTCAGAAGTTTAACTACGCACATAGCCGCGCACGGCCGGTCCCCTCACTGACTTCGCCTGGCTACGGCCTGCCACCAACCGCAACCATACCCGCCAGGAGGCTCATAAACATCGAGCGCCCGTCGCGCTTCGAACCCGGACCGTCATACCGGGACACGAGCTCTCACCTCGCGGAGTCCAACGCTCTACCGACTGAGCTACAGGACCAGCTTTATTTATGAGTTTGTTTAGGTCAGGTTTGGTTTGGTTTGGTTTGGTTTTGTTTGATTTGATTTGGTTTGGTAACTGGTTAGGCTAGAAAGGACTAAGGAGTATCTCCAAGTAGCGCGGACCCAAAATGCAGAGTGAGATATACCTAGTGGCTACAGTTTTTGCGCACTCTCCGTAGAAGCCTGCCCAAACGGTCTGAGGAATATTCCCTGGGATTCTCTTAGCAGACATCACCCGAGCTGCCATATCCAGTTAGGTAGGTTGGTAGGTTGTAGGTTGGTAGGTTAGGTTGTAGGTTGGTAGGTTAGGTTGTAGGTTGGTAGGTTGTAGGTTGTAGGTAAGGTAAGGTCAGGTTAGATATGTTTTGTTATATATTTAACCATGAAAAGACAATTGTTGCGCAAGTGAGACATAGATATGGCAGCTCGGGTGACGTCTGCAAAGAGAGTACCTGATCCCCGATGAAAAAACGAAACCGCCCATCCGAACGCAGCATGTGTCTGCCCCAACCAGATCTTGTCGAACCCTGCCACGTTTTGCAGACTGGATCGCTCCCAAAAATAGCAGAATCGTTGTCATTTTTAGCACATGTGACAAAAATAGCATATGATAAAAATGACTGATTGACCAAACCTCCCAGACTGATACAAATTCCTGTGAATCTGCACAGCACAAGAGTAAATTCACACTGCAAACATCAATGGAGAGCCCAGCTATGAGCCAACACATCAGTCAAGTAATCTCACCTGAACAATTTTCATCTGCGACCTGCCATAGGAAATACACTTATGACACAGGTATCGTCCAGCAAGCTTGCCAGGGTCACCCATTCCCAGGGCCTGAATGACGGACTTCGAAACGTACTTGGAACCAATCTTGTTCAATTTTGGCACTTCCGACTCACTTGAAATCAGTGCGTGCCCCCCATATGCACAACGCCGTCTTCTGCCGTCAATATTCATCTTGAAATTTAGAAGCCAAGGCGTACAAGCGCTCAAATCTCGGGCAACATGGCGTCCAAATGGCGTCGGCGACGGAAGTGACGCACGTCGCCATTTCTAATATACGGTTTATAACAAAAACGAGATAGTTTTCGACAAATTTAGCCATTTTCCGTAAAACCATATGCTTAATGAGGTATATCAATCGAAAGTCAATACGCTAATCTATCTCAATCAACAACTTGTAGAGGCCAGCTCCCTCCCATTTTTCAACTACCTCTTTACCATAGTGCCTTTTTTCATTCAGACATTGAAGCCTTTAGGGGCGAATTTCGCCTTTTTCCGTAGAACCTTAAGCTTAATGAAAATTAACATCTAACAGACAATTAAATACTGGTGCTAATTTTAATTTTTATAGAGGCCAGCTCACTCTAGATTTTTTATAGGAACGCTCTGTCTAAGGGCCATCACTTCTTATCAAGCACAAAATGGCACTTTGAAAAGCGATAATTTAATGTTTTTCTGTTGTTTTCCAAAAAGTTCATATCAAGAGAATGCAAAAATCAATTTCATTTCTAAAAACATCAGAATTAAGTAGGTTCACTGCCTAGATACTGAGATATCCGAGGCTTCCTGAAGGCATGATGTCATACCGTGAAATTACAAATTTCTTGGCAAGAACGAATTTTAATGAGGATAACTAAAAATATGTCTTTATTAAATCGCGAAACATAAGTAATAGCAAAGTATTAGGAAAATCTGTAAAGTAGTTACGTAGCAAGTATCTTGCAAATCATGCTAGCACTAGTTGTCAAGACCTGAACCCGTTGCCTTCATGTTGAAGGAATTTTTCGGTGTTACCTAGTGTTTTTATATACCTTGGCCACAGGTTGCCACAGCAGTTTGCTGGCATCCTCTGGCATCCTCGAGACTTCTGATGACTTTTCTGTGGGAAGAAAGAAAAGTTAGCAGGTGCCAGCTTATGTTTGAATGATGCAAACATGTTTTTAGGATTATTATGGTTGTGTTTCACGGCTGCTGCCGTTAGCACTTAGCAGATATCAATTAACTCCGTACTTTTATATCCAACACTGCCAAAATCTGTGATGTCAGCCCATGAAATGAGATAGCAGTGTGATGCTAGCATCCGAGAAACTCAGCCTATGACTATAATTGCTTCTTTTAGCAAATTTCAATGTTTTTGGGTCAAAACTTTTTCATGGTTGAAGACATTTTGCAGAACTACTAACAAAATAATGTTCAGTGCAGGAATGTGCCTAGTTTCTTGTCCATATAATATTTGATAGCTGTAAAACTGGTGGCCACTGGCCACCGCCTCTCCTTGGTTGCAAAAAGAAGTTTCGGACACCTCTTTGACTACCCATTTTTCTACATTTACTGAGTTCCTTATATGAGCAACTTAGCACTCCTAAGTTAAAACTGTTCATATATGTGTTCATATATGTTCATATATGTGTGGAAAATATTGAAGCAAAACATCTACTGCATCATCTAAAAAGAATGCCTAAGGTAGCACCAGTGAAAAAAGTAGATCGAGATTATCTCTCCAAAATGGGTTTCCCATAGTTTACAGAGTACTGGTTACTTTAAGATCGAGTGATTTCGAAAACCTGCTTCAATTTCCATATCCTGGAAACAAAATACTTGAAGTAAAAGGACATCCTGACTGGTGGTGAACCCAACATTGCGTACATGTCTCGCGGGTTTTAACGGTAGGTTTTGCACATAGAAAATTTAAAGTACTTCAGGGTATATCTTCGTCGTCTTAACCCGCGCCCCACTGGGGGGGGGGCTATTTACAACCCCCCCTCCCGTTTTTCCGCAATAACTTCCAAACCGCTTGACGGATCGACGCCAAACTTTCAGTACCTTTGGCTGCATCAATTTGACACCTTGTGTCAAAATTTGAACTTCGTAGCTACCATAGGTCGGCCGGAAATGACGTCAGAGTGACGTCATGTTCGTCCGAATTCGACGCAAAACATTGAACCACGGCAATCGCTCCCAAGAGCTCAGTTTTTAAGCTAGATCCAATTTCTTTGCATGAAAGGACTCGGAATTGACCGCGTTATCAAACTGCCATCTCGGATTTTCAAAATTTTGAAAATTTTATATAATATTCAAAATTTATATTTTATATTTTTTTCAAAAAGTTTTTGACTTTTCGAGAAAAAAAAACGGAATATATGTGACAGAACGCATGATTATGACTAACTCTAGCAAGTTTTAGCTAAATATCTTCAAAAATGGCCAAGTTATACGCATTATTGCAAAAAATTCACAACTATTAATTTTCAAATCAATTTTTCAGTACGTATTTGACATCGTACACTAATATAAATGGCACCATCGTGTTCCTGAGCTCAAACTGCATCCAATAGACACCTTTTTTGTTGAGAAATTTTAACTTCAAAATTTGACCTTTTTTTACCTGAAAGTGACCTGACCTAAGCTAACTTCGACTCAAAATGACCTCAAATAACACAGACGACATTAAATTCGAAATTTATGGCCTAAATGGACCATAACACATGTGTCACGTGACCGACGCATGATATAATATTTCCGTGACCTGTGATGACCTGACCCTGACCTGAAAATCAAAGTACAAGTTTGGTACCCTCAAGGTATCTAGAGCATCTGTTCACGAGTGTGGAAACCAAAAATGAGCATGATCTGACTTGTAAGACGGCGGCCAGAGCCCAAAATGTGAACAAGCCAAAATGCTAATAATTTTTACTTTGACCTGACCTGTGACGTCATCGGTGACCTCGAGGTCAATGAAATTAGGTTTCGCTTTACAGTTTTTGCGGGGCTATCAGACGCCGTTTGAATTTTGACGATCTGCCCAGTAGTTTCGGAGTTAGGAGGGGGGGGGCTATGAATAGCCCCCCCCCCCCCAGTAGGGCGTGTTATACACAGACCCCAGTGGGGCGCGGGTTAAGCTGTAAAAGTGTTGAAGATGCGATCGACTTGTTGGTTCACAAGCCGGCCATGATGGTGCACAATGGCTTCATCGTAGATCGATTAGTTTCTGAGATATAACCGGAAATGTAAAAGTGCAAAACATACCGCTTAATCTCGCGAGAGCCGTACCTAAGTGAAAAGCAATCGTACATTTTACCTGTGACGTGCTGTTAATAAAAATAGGTACCATATGAAGTTATCAAATTAAGGCCTAATCAACCGAATCAAAATAATCAAAATAATGCCAATGAAGTTTTCAAAACAAGGCCTGAGTTTTGAAAAAAAAAAAAACGTAAACAACCAACAGACAATCACTAGATAAAGACCATCAAGGCATAAAACCAAATTTTATCATTATATGGGCAGTTATCACCACGCTATGTGTGGATCGCTTATGGTCGTAAAATCTAAATGCATACATACATATATACGTATTAAATAAATAGTACCTACCGCAACTCGTGTAACAACCCTGCTAGGTACCAATCAAAACAATAGTACCATAAAATGGCCAGAAATACTGCGCCGGTGCGCCAGAATAATTTGCTACACCGCTTGAACCTCAGCGACCAATCAGCTCTCGACCATCCCAGTGACGTCATCTTGGCAGCATTTGGTAACAATTTCCCTGCCTATAGCAAGGTAAAGGGACGGACCCCCCCCCCCCCCCCCCGGGCGCGGCACGCCTCAGGGACGATCACGCGAATCGTGGTGAAGCCCCTGTGGCAGGACTCTGCCACAGACTTAATGGTCCCACCTAGGTCCTAAGTACACTAGGTAATGCAAAAGACGTGGGTCAGAACAAATAGCGCATTGAAAGACGTCGTGAAGTTCTGGCGCCGGTCATACTCGTGAGAAGTTAATTGGAAACTAAGGCAACTTGATCAGTTTTCTGGCTGTTGTAAGCTCAAACGTTTAACCCGGCAGTTGCTGGGGTATTTCGCCACCCACCGTTTGCTGGGGGGGGGGGGGCGTTAAACGCCCCCAGCCGATAACTCGAGAACCAATAGGCGCAGCGAAACGCACGAGGCGGCAAACGAAAGAGCGCGACGAGACGCTTCAGATGACTACTTTTGAAGTTGAATTTTGAGGTCACAGGTCGGGTCAAGGTCAGGTCAAACACCTGAAATCGGGCTTTCAGTAGCATGGACTTCAGAACTTCGCAATGGGCGCCTCTCGCCATAAACTCTGTCAAAACGGTGCACAATCCATCTTAAAAGGCCTACAAGAGTGTCAGCTTCATATAGGGGTCAGTCAAGCATAGGTCAGGGTCAAGGTCAGGTCAACCGGGTAGGCACATATCCCCGAAAATCAAAACTGATATTCGCAGCCTGTGACACATGTTTTATAGGTAATTTGGGGCGTAGAACACGATGATGACATTCATTTTATCATATGTGTACGTGTTTGGCTCAAAAAGTTCAATTTAAGAAATTCATTTATCATGGTCGTGAAGTAGTCACGAAAAATTGCCAAGATTCAGTTCAAGATTTTGGAAAATGCGGAACGATAATCAATAATCGAAGATAGCCATTTGATTGATCATGGTATTGGCAGTCTAATGGCATTTACGGCATGTCTGTATGTCTATTCTGTGATTTTATATGATTTTTTGAACATATGCCGTTTTTGGTCGAAAACTCAGAAATCATGACGTCACTAAAACCTCGATATCTCAAAAATTTTCCGACTGATTTTTTTGAAACTTTGTCACAATAAACTTCAATCAATTCCCTACAGGTACCGAAAATTTGGCGCGCCATTTTTATGCTATGGCCCGGCGAAAAAAAGTGGGGGCGTTTAACGCCCCCCCAGCAAATCGCGGGTTGTGAATTATACGTCAATAAAAAACATCGTTAAGAGGGTTCAGGCTTTACAGCAGCGTTGTCGCCAGGTACTCTGGTGCCGAGATCGGCTGTTTCAAGGTGTGTTACCTCCTTCGTCGTAACTGGCTCGATCTTGCAGAGCACTTCGTTGATTTTGTTGACACCCATCTGGAAGTAGAGCCGATGGCCCTCAGGAATTGGCATCATTCCGGCGCAGCTCCTGTATCAGCGTGTGGAACTCGCCGGACTCATCTCACTAGAGGTGGCAAAATGTGGACCCGAGGACCCGGTCCAAAGAACCAGTCTGGACCCATATGGGTCCAGACCGGTTCCTGGAAATTTTCTGACGGGTCCAACCGGGTCCTACCATAAACTATACATCTTGCACACTACACATTATTGCAAAATATGAAGTGAATGAAGTGAATGTTTCTTTGCACACAAGCTCATGAGTATTCCCAGTGGGAAATAGGCTGTTATACATGATGCAACTAATGATGTCTACAAGTAATTTGTATTAATTGACTTTTGGGGACCGGGTCCAACTGGTTCCGATTCCAACTAAGACCGGGTCCGACTGGTTCCAGAAATGTCCAGCCGGGTCTGGTTCGAGTCTGGTTCCCAAAATTTTCATCTTTTGCCACCTCTACATCTCACCGTAACACCGAGCAGGGGCGCCGCCACCACTACGTACAGTACGTACACTGTACGTAGTGCAATTTTTGACTAGGAAATCCACTACGTACAGTACGTACTGCTCAAAATAAGAAAAAGTTAATTTATTTTATATAAAAAAATTTAATCACGTTTTTTTGAAAAGTTTTTTAATTGAAAAAAAATCACCAAACTTCAGTTTGTTTTGACCAGTTTTGACATACCAAAATTACATTTGTCATTTTGAACTGCTAAAAAAATAAGGTACGCTCTTGTTGCCATAACAACTAGGAAGCTTGGCGGCTTGGCTCAACCTGGGCTCAAGCATGGCTCAAGGCTCAACCAAGGTATCCGCCGAATCTTCAAGAGAATCTTGAACCTGCTTGAACCCTTGTCTTGAACAAAGGCATGCTCAACCATGGGTCGGGAATGCACCGCGCCGAGCAAGCGCCGAGCGTGGTGTAGAGTTTTAGGGCCTTGGTGTAGAGGCCTTTTGTGAGTGATTGGTTGCTCATAATGATATAGGGCTTGGGTGGTAGCAAGGTCAGCAAGGTGGTAGTGATCTCAGATCTGCAGAGTAGAAGAGTGGAGTGCTAGAAGTTGTTTATTTCGACGCGTCCGTTGACTGCTGTAAGGAGAATGAAGGAACGGAAGCTGCAGGGTCAAATGACCACTTTCTCAGACTGCCAGCTAAGAAATGGTAAGGAGTAAGGACTGCTTACCGGGCTCAGAGGTACGTACGGTTCTTCTCCAATCCAAAGGCTAGGCTAGGCTAGGCTAGGTGTAGAAGAAAAAAGTAGGTAGCGGGAAATTCTTATTCACCCTGACTAACCACGTTTTTTCTACCGTTTTTGGCCGTTTTTGCCAATTTTATCGTAGCTAAGCAGGATGAATAAGAATTTTCCGGTACTTTTTTTCTTCTGCACCTAGCCTTCTGCTGCTCCAGGAAACGGAGAGCCAAAACTGCACCGTGATCTGTAGTTTGCGAGACTCCGTATCACTCATGTATGATTTTATGCAATATTTCCGACCTTCCTCCCATTGGCTTTCCATAGTAAACGTTCTGAAACTTTCGTCACCCTGCGCGACCTGAAGATATGCACTAAGAGAGAGGTCTAAAATTTTGGCCTGGTTACTTTTTAGTGCATTGAAATCGATCGTGGGGCTGCGCATTGTAGTCCGGAAAATTTCGTGTTTATTGAAACACCCATAAGAAGAACGTGAATTTATCGCGTGTGATACTTCTTTCTACTCCGAGTCACTGGTGGTGGACGGTGGTCATTTGACCGTTTGAGACACGGTCAAGTCAGGGTGGGGGGGTAATGCCTGGACTCCAATGAGTTAGGTAAATGAGATAGTTGGCTTAACTAAATTTGTTCCCCACCTAAATGTGATCCGCGCTCAACACAACTCTTCTCATCTCACTCTACCGTATGCACTTCTTGATCATGTAAAATATATACTTGTACATATGTATGTATCATTTTGTTCGCATTTTAACGCGAATCCCATTGCTCCTTTAACCGGTTCCCGCTCTCCTCCGGATCCCATCGATCCTGTCCCTCAGGCACTCTGATGATGCAGTCGAGCCGACGAATTCTGCTGGTCCGACACAATCCTCTGCCGAGCCGACACTGTCCGGGCAGCCCGCAAAACCGACACTGTCCGGGCAGCCCGCAAAACCGACACTGTCCGGGCAGCCCGCCGAGCCGACACTGTCTGGGCAGCCCGCCGAGCCGACACTGTCCGGGCAGCCCGCCGAGCCGACACGGTCTGGGCAGCTCGCCGAGCCGACACTGTCCGGGCAGCCCGCCGAGCCGACACTGTCCGGGCAGCACGCCGAGCCGACACTGTCTGGGCAGCCCGCCGAGCCGACACTGTCTGGGCAGCCCGCCGAGCCGACACGCTCTGGGCAGCCCACCGAGCCGACACTGTCCGGGCAGCCCGCCGAGCCGACACTGTCCGGGCAGCCCGCCGAGCCAACACGCTCCGGGCAGCCCGCCGAGCCGACACTGTCTGGGCAGCTCGCCGAGCCGACACTGTCTGGGCAGCCCGCCGAGCCGACACGGCCAGGGCAGCTCGCCGAGCCGACACGTCCCGCTCCAGTCCACGGGCATCTCTCCGCTGAGCTGAGCCGACACGGTCTGAGCTGAGCTGACCCGACATAGTGTAAGTGCAACTGTAACTACATACATTATTCTGCAGACTGCAATCGGTTCGAAGCCAAGGGAGGGACGGCAGGGACAGCCGATTTTCCCTTGGTCAGCTGGGTGTTTATTAGATCATTCGTTTTACTCATTTTGTATTATTTTTAATGAAAATGTTGACTTCTCGACAATCAGTGGGACGAATCCGGAGAGTTTTCAGGTTTTGGTGATGTTATAAATAGGCACCTTGGAACTTGGGAAAATTTTCATCCCACCCTGGGTGTCGTGCCTGAGCCTACCACTAACCTGCATGCGGGTGTACGTAGTGCTCATAAAAGCGTGGCGGCGCCGCTGACACCGAGCGAACCCACGGCCTCCGTCCGCTGTCGCTTGCGTTGACATCAAGTTGATACGCACACTACGAACCCTCTTTGACAACGCAACAGCAAAACTGTAGGTAGACCGTAGATTATGCTCGGCAATCCATTTATTGCAGCTCAAGAGATTAGACAGCGCGATACGCACAATTGCCGCTGCTGCTTGGCACGCAGAACCCGATCGGAACGGAGCACACAAAAAAAAAACGTAGAAACCGAAAACCAGCTGAAATTGAAAAACGTGGCTAGTGTTATAAGCTTGCTGAAAAAATATGGTACCTTCGAAAAGAGCGAAACCGGTAAATGCGGCTGAATTCCATAGCAATAAATTATGCTCCCTACTTATTACGGTACATCACGCAAGTGGCTGTTGTATAGCATCTGCACTAGGCCGATATGGTCCACCCAACCAGTGAATCGCGTATGCCTCTCTTGTCAGTTTTTTGTGGGCTATTACGAACTTTTTCATTGCATGTTAAACGTCATTTAGTATCTGTATTAGTGATGTCAATTTACGAACACCTTTATACCGATACCAAGCCAAACACCAACAATAACCATGGAAGAATACCGAATCCGAACCAACTTGGTAAACTCAAGAAAATACCAACTATTTACCACATTCACAGCCTGTTTTACATTAGGGACGGTTCACAATACCAGCAAAATACCAAATGCCTTAAAATACCAAATACCAATTTGGTATCGGTTTGGTATCGGTATACCAAAAAGTTGGTATCTGATTGACATCTCTAATCTGAATTGAATGATTAGACCCCTTCCAAACATGAATGCCCCTGACATCAAATCACAGTTTTTAATCAGTTTTGCTGTAGGTATAGACGTATCCCTTGTTGTCCCTTTCCAGCGACACCTTGCCGTTGTGGAAGTTTTTGCGGACTGGTCTTTGCGTCGTGGTGGTTGTGGTCGTCCTCCGCGGCGGAGGAGCTGTCGCCGCTGACACGGGTGTCAGCGGCTCGCTGCTGTCGTAGCTGAGGCTGAACGAGCTGAAGCTTTTCTTTTCGGTCACGGGACGAGAGGCGGCGCGGGCGGGCTGCTGGTAGCGCTCAGTTGGCGCAGGCTGTGCCGGCGGCTGGCTGCTGGGCGTGCTGTCCACGTGAGTGCTGCTAATCACCTGGAAGCCGCCGGCGCCGGCCGTGTACTCGACGCGGTACTCTTTGCCGTCGTCGCCGACGAACTGGTACGAGCCGCGCCGCTCGCCGTCGCCGCTGGTGGTCTCCTTGAAGAGGACGCCGTCTTCCTGGGCGTAGGCCACGTCCAGGCCGCCGTCGGCCCGGAGCCGGCGCGTGTCGGCCAGGATGGCCGCTGTGGATGGGTCGCCCTGGAACGCCGGCTCGGCGGCTCCCAGCAGCGTCAGCGCGCTCACCACCAACAGGCGAAACATGACGGAGCCGCTGCTGGGGAGGGCTGAAGAGTCAAGACGGGACGCAGAGGTAGGTGTGCCACTGGGACGGGCCGAACCCGATCTTATACCGGCGGCCGGCGGCCTTGCGCTCTGTGCCATTCGGTGGGTGGCCTCAGCCAGGGCGTGGCGCGTGCTTCCGCCATACTTCCGCGGTCGGTACCCTATGTGTCCGCGACAACTGGTTATGTTATCGGCGACGCCATTTCTCCATGCAGGTGACAGCGTGCGCAAGCATGATGATAAACAAGGACGCGCCAAGACAGGCTAGTTTTTGGTGACACGACAGGCACAGAGCACACTCCAGTCCCCAATGCTTAAAAACTTAACCTCTTTATCAGACGTACCTGGTTTCGGAATCACTCACAGGATTGCACAATGCGTAAGACCGGATCACTTACATAGACGTATCCCTTGTTGTTAGACTTCTTCAGCGCTTTTTCAAAAAGCTCAAAAAGTATGAAAAAGGCGCTGAAGAAGTCTTTGATAGACGAAACCGGTCCGCTTATCCATTTCTAATTGCTTTTTGAAAATATCCGTAGACTACTGGCTCTTAACCACATAACCATGTTTCACATCACGGTCACTGTATTCGTCCACAACCCCTTTTTCTGCCATCATCTCTCGTTCTTTCCATTCATTTTTCACATGCCGTACACACGTCCTATATATTGTCCGTCTCCGAATATATCGAACTCGCTACAGTACCCCCACGTGACCGAGGTTCCGGCCTGGAACCTACCGAGGTTCCGCCCCGGAACCTACCGAGGTTCCGCCCCGGAACCCAACAACTGAAAGGTTCTGACTCAGATCCCAACACAACAACAATACACATTACACATGGGCATGTCTACCCTAAACCTAGTCAATATGATACACTTTTCATATGCACAGACAACGCCGTTCCTATATCCCTCGCCCGCACATGGGGGGGGGGGGGTGGTTGCCAACCCCCCCAGGTAGTCTTTCTGCTCTGCACTCGACATTTTTAGAGCTAGAAGGCTGATTTTTCGTATAGCTGCTCCTCTATCCGTTCTTGATGTCCACTGAAAATTTCAAGTTTCTGTGATTTTTGGTTTCGGAGATATGACCTTGTTTTTCAGGTCATGTCATGACCCAAATGGCCAATTCTCAACATCTTGCGTTTGCCATGGGCCTTGTGGGCTTTTAACACCCTGATTTCGGCCTTTTTTGCCAGTCTTACCTCCCACCTATCATGGAGCATGTTGTTCGACGATGTACAGGGGTCAAGGTCAGGGTCAAGGTCAACCTAGGTCATCTAAGATAATTGCGTTTTAGGCAAGCTGAATTTACTTTTTGTGAAGTTTTTTGACTGCATTTTTGGTAAAAGCTTCTCAGATCATGATTTCATGTAATATGGACCCAAAAACAATCGGTGCACACATCAGTATACACACAGACACACACAGACATACAAACACATATAATTGACCTTGACCTAACTTGACCTGAAATGACCTCAGCAGCAAAATTATGGTCGGGTAGTGTGACAAAGAGGTTCTAGCTGGCTTGGCACCAGAAAACAGCATCGTCATCGGTATTTAATAAGCAGCGCACTTGATATCCAACGGTGACCCAAAACAGCAACATTTTTTAGTTTGACCTGACCTGGAAGGTCAATGACTGACCTGAGGAGGTAAAACTGGGTATCATTGGATTCGTCTCTTCCCAAAGAATCTTTTTGGTCTTTACCGCTAAGCTCTATCTCCAACAGGAACGAAATGGCGCGGGGGGGTGGCAACCACCCCCCCCCCCCCATGTGCGTTCTAGGATGGGAAAATGGCATGTGCGGGCGAGGGATATACACCGAAGAATACACTTTAAAAACGATAGTTTACCCTGATTATCATGTCTCATACTTAACTGGCGGCCGAAACGCACGACCTGACCGCGTTTGTACGAGTAACACCTCTGGAGGAGGCCGTCCGCTTCTGCCTAGAGGGTTCACGGGCAGCGTATTCGCCAATTGTGTTACACGAATCGGCCGACCAATAGCGTGCCTCTTGAGTGACGTCAGCGTGGCGTCATACGTTCGATCCTCGCCCTTGGTGGCGTCTATTGAAGCTAGGTTTTAAATTAACGACATTTAAGCTTCCTAGAGTATGTTGTCGCCGTGGCGAAGTGTTTATAGTATCTGACTGGTGTTTCAGAGGTAGGTGGTTCGAATCCACTCGGCGACTTCAATTTTCGTGTCATCTGTCATTGTGCGTTTCTTTTTTTATACATTTGCAACGGCGTGCACCTAAGAAATCAGACGTAGGCATTCTTATGAATATGTTGCATAAGATAAATATTTGCAGTCCAACCGATTGGTTCCGTTTCGGTATTTTCCAATGGTCTTTGTTTGTATTTGGTTTGGTATCGGTGTTCTGATTTTCTGTGATTGACATCACTAATGCTTAGTGCATACTATGCGAACGTAGCGAATGGAAAGACAAATGGTGCTGGGCGATGGCCATTGATCAATATTTCTCACTGCCAATGGGTGATAGCACGCAGCATATGACAGGGGCGGCGCTGACCTTTTGAAAGTAGGTGGGCACTTGGCAAGGTAAAGTACCTAAAAGTAGCGAAAACTAAGATGAAAAGTAAAAATCGCACGCTGGTTAGCAGGCTATTGGATAGTTTTTCGTGTAAGAATCACCATGCACAAAAAAGTTCGGCATAGCTGTTAGCGTAATCACGGGACGAGATATCAGTTTCCAGCAGTCAAAGAGCGTCATCTATAGGAGCTATGCCCAAACTATAACTTTTACATTTAAGCCGCCAGAGGGATACCTAAGTCCCCTTACTTGGAATCTAGTTAAAGGGACTATCCCACCTTCTAAAATGTTGTTAAAACCAGTTAAATTGTGCCCGACTTTATAGATTGGATGACCAGGAACACGGTTCTGGCATTTATTTTTCATTAAACATCTTAGGCTTCCCATATTCCAAACACAAACTTTCAAATATGTGACGTCACAGCCCAAAATTAACTCCTTCCCCAGGCCACATTACTGTCATAAAGCTGATTCTTTTTACTCTGTAGGCACCACAACAAAGCTCAGACCAGGTTTTAAGCGATTTTTCAACGAACAAACTCATTTAAATCAGAATGAGTAAAAGAGGTGACGTCACACTAACGGTCGCTCCATGTTAAAGATAGGGCCTTGTACAAGGCCCATTTTCAAATGAAGGGAACGAATTTCTTCAACACCAAGAGGCCGCGGGGGTTGCAACCTAGATAGATAGTGGTTTCTGAACCTCGCCGCAAACTTGGCTATCTCAACTCAAACCCCATGTTAAATGTGGGATAGTCCCTTTAAAGTCAAAAAGATTTATATTAGACGTTTATGAAGATAACTTGGGACTGGTTGTCAAGTTGCATGCTCACGGCGGGCTGTCATCAATTTATCTCTATGCATGTCTTATCTGATCGATGGAATAATACAGGAATCGGTTGTCATTCGAGTGTGTTTCATAATAGCTCTTCCGACTTTGACGAATATCGACAGTGCCGTAACAAAATTGGTAGTTCAGGTATAGACTGCAACTGCAGTTCTTTTGCTACTTATTCCTTAATCAGATGAATACTTGTCAGAGATTTATTGGGCGTACGATATTGGCGTGCGAACGAAGGGGCCAAAAATGCGTGTCTACGACCGACTTCTTATGAGAAAAGAACCGCTAAAGCAAGAATCAACCTACCGACCTTTTGTTCACCACACCGAGACTCTAACCACTCGGCTACGACGACACATGCATATTCGTTACCCATATACAATTGCAAAAAAGTCTCAACTCAAATCTAGCCTCAATGCATGCATTGTGGCGGTGGATGGCTATGACGTCGCACTAGAGATGTCGCTAGTTGGTGGGCCGATTCGTGTAATACAATTGGCGAATACGCTCACGGGCACTGTTTGGCCTGGAGAGCTGGTCCCCTGTAATGGGGGTGCACCGTTCCCTGGCTGCAGGAAGCCCGATTGGAGCAGGTGGGATGGAGGGGAGCTTGAAGAACTGGATGGTTCCGCTGGTTGACAGCAGGCCTACTGCGTCGCCATATGCGGGTGGGGTGACCCTGTGTAGGCGTGTGCGAACTGATTATATTTGAATGACAGGGTTTTAGACGGTTGTGATGGGCTGTGGTTTCCACGACTTCTCCCTCACGCGCTATGACATACCTAGGTCCAGTTGCGGCTTTGTCTACAATACGGTAAGGTCCTGACCATCGAGAGGACAGCTTTTGCGACTCTCCAGCTTTCACGGCTTTTTGTCTCAACCAGACTCGATCCCCTGGCGCATAGATGTGCTCGACGATGCGCTTGTCATGCCGAAGTTATTTTTGTTGTGAGAGCTCACACTGGCTGTGAGCAGCTGTTGATCTGAGCAATTTAGGGTGCGCTGCACTATACAGCTAACGCTAGCCGGGATAGCTACGGTAGCCGTCCGAGCTGCCGCAGCCTATACTACATAGTAAGACAGCCTGTGCAAGCCTGCTGGTCGTCTTCGCTGTCTTGAGTTTTCTTGGCTACCTGAATTTTGCTCCCGATGGGCTACAAGAGCCCAAGGCCCTATATACCAGGTAGGGTCCCGGTCGTCCGGCGATTCGACCTGATCGTGACGTCAGCTTGTGACGTCATCTGGGGGCAAGTCTAGAAGCCCCGTTTGAGTCCCATGAAAATGGGCGATTTTTGAAGCGCTGTAGAACAGACTCTGCTGGAGCTAGCACAAAACTAAGTACATCATCGGAAAGACGAGACATTTTTCTTCGAATTATCTAAGAGTAGTTTTTCACTAAACCCATTAGTTTTTCCGAAAATGCGTAAAAAAGCCCCATGCCTCCGCAGCCTCCCTTCCGCCGGCCGCTGCGCCGCCGCGGTAGTGTAGTGATTAGGATGCTTGCACCGTGATCCAAAGATCGTGCGTTCCAATCCAGGCGCGGGTAGGACTTAAATTGAAATTGCAAGCAGAATCCGTGTTTTTTTTCTTTAAAAATCACTTAAATTACAGCTAACCG